ATCGATGGCAAATTATTGCCTCATGCTGAATTGATGGTTTTAGGCCCTGGGGTCGACAATATTCAATCATAATCATTTTGCTCAAATTGAATTTGATTAGTTTGCTTTTAAGGCTCGCTTCTGATTTTGACAATTTTGGGTTGGATAATCAAGAACTGGTCAATACTATCAAAAGTGTATTCATTGATGTATAATGAACTCATTTATTCATTTCTCTCGTACGTAACGGCGAAGATTTTCAAAACAAACGCAATTCATCTACACTGGGTAGAAGCCAAGAGAAGAGGTAACAATACGGGGGTGAAAATGAACCACTTTTCTGTCAAACGTGAACCAGCTCCTGATTGGCCGATCTCATGTGCGTAAGATAGAGATAGAGATAGATAAAGATAGAGATAGAGATAGAAATAAAAGAGGAAGAAGCCAATTGTCACCTCTTCCTCTTAGGTTAGAAGCGCTATTCCTTGCTTGTGACGGTAAATCTGGTGTAATTATCAAAATAGTACAATAAAGGATGTAGCTGATACCCATCGCTACCTGGGCTACATAGGGAGCCTATTCTTCTGATGATTTCCTAGACCGTTGTTCTTTAAGATATCGTAGGAATGATGCACCCTGAAAGCAACGGTTTCCTGTATCGACCGCAGTGCCATTCATCCATGCTGGTGAGCGAAATAATCTCGCCAACCCGAAAGGAGACGAAATGATGATACCGGTGGCTGTCCGAGCAAAGCCACGCTAGAACTGTAGCTGGGTCCGTACACACGAAACTTGGCTCATATGATTTCAGCACAGGATCTTAAAACTTGTTTTCCAAATGTTAGCTACTGGGTTCACAAGATGTTCTTCCTCAAGGCTTTCATTCTTTTCCCAGAAGGACTTAGTTCTAGTACTTTGATAATGTACACCGCAGTATTTCGGGCTCTTCCATTTGATTAACACGACAAACTGACTGGCCCATAATTGTTACTAGCTAACCCACAATACTGTCGCTCCAGGCTTCAGGACTTGTTCCTGGAAATGCAGCACTTGTTCCAAATGGCTTAACGAATTTTCAATTTCTCTCAAAAGGCTCCAATACATGTTCCAGAGCGCGTCAAAACTTGTTACTCCGAGTTTCAGAAATTGTTCAACATTCCCTCAGTTCTTGATTTGTTCTAAGGCTTGTACTCGAAAAAATGGACCATTTTTATCCATGTGTAACTTTTTTATCCGTGGGTAAAAATTGATGAAAATCTGGGTTAACTAGTTTGGAGTGAATTGTCTACATGTGCAAAATTTCATAACAATCGGTTCAGTGGTTATTGAGATGTCATCGAAACAAGAAGAAAATCGCCGGAGAATTTTGCGCGCCCTCATGGAAAATCCGACTTCGACCATGAGATGGATCGGAAGACAACTGGGAATCACCCATGCAACTGTGTCTCGGGTGGTAAAATCGTTTAAGGAGTCCCAGACGACCGAGCGGCGGGCTGGAAGTGGAAGAAAATCGAAGACAGCTGACCCTGTGAAGGCCCGGAAGGTGTTGGATTATTTCAAGCGTAATTCGAACCTTTCGATTCGCGACGCGCCTCTGAAGGCAAAGTGTTCCGCCTGGTTCGTTCAGCAAACCATGAAACGAGCTGGGCTTCGTGTATTCAAGGTCCGCAAGGCATCGAACCGGCGTGATCAACAAAACACGGCGGCCAAATCCCGCGCAAGGAAGCTGTATCGAGAGTGGTTAACGAAACCGATGTGTGTGGTTATGGATGACGAAACCTACATCAAGGCAGACGCAAAGCAGATACCGGGGCTGGAGTTCTACGTTGCCAAATCACGGTTTGATGTTCCGAAAGACATAAGGAAGAAGAAAGTGGACAAATTCGCCAAAAAATACTTGCTCTGGCAGGCCATATGCCAATGCGATAAACTGAGTAAACCGTGCATCACAATGGGTACCATCAACAGTGAAATTTACCGCACCGAGTGCCTCCAGAAGCGTCTGTTGCCCTTCCTGCGGTCCCACGGAGGCGAGACATTATTTTGGCCGGACCTGGCATCATGCCATTACGCGCGATCGACGTTGGATTGGTACAGAGACAATAACGTTGTGTTTGTACCAAAAACCGCCAACCCCCCAAATTTACCAGAGATTCGTCCGGTGGAAAGATTTTGGGCCATAATAAAGGCCAAAGTTCGAAAATCGTCCAAGGTGTTTAAGAACGAGCTGGAGTTGAAGAAAGGATGGATGAAAGTGACCAAAAAGGTCGGCTCCACCATTGAACAAAATGTAATGAGGGGTCTTAAGGGAAAGGTGCGGGTTTTCAGCGATGGAAAGGAAATTGAATAAAGTAATTATGCCGAAACATAATCCATATGTATTAGTTCATTCCCGGAAAGTTTCAAGAAAATCAGATTTAAAATAATTTTTTGGCGAACACTTTTGTCTGGTGCATTTTTTTCGAGTACAGGCCTTTGTAAGAATCAAATCTTGGCAAATTGTTCCAGAAAATGTCAACACTCGGTTTTATAAGTCCCAGGATTCAGGTTCCTACGGTTTCTAGGACTGGGTCCATAAAGCCTCATGCCTTGTTTCTCAAGGTGTTAAGCCATGTGAACTTGTTCCACTAGCTTTCAAAATTGTTCTATGGACTTGTCTTATATAGTCCCTTAAATTGTCGCATTCAAGACTGGGTCCATAAGGCCGCATAACTTGTTTCCCAAGGCTTTATTTATTGTTCCAGAAGCCTTCTATATTTCTTCCATAATCTGGGACTACTCTTGCATGGAATCTGAAATACTCTTATAAGTTTCAGGACATATGTCTCCAGAGGGTATCAGAAGTTTTTCCTTATGGCCTTAGGATAAGGTTGCTAGATTCGATCTCCAATGTAATAAGCTTGCCTCTAAATGATTCGAAACTTGTTCTACATGGTCACAGGACTTGTCTTAGAACGTTTCTTAAATTGTTCCACAGGACCCTAGGACTAGTTCCAGAAAACCACGGGACTTGTTTCTCTAGGTCACAGAACTTGTTCCACATGGCTTCAGGATTTTTCTCATTGACCCATAGGACGTCAAGACTTGTTTCTCAAGGCTTTCATTATTGTACCAGAAGCCCTGCAAACTTGTTCCATCTGCATTTGTATCGCAAGGATTGTGAACTCCTCTTATAAAATCTTTTTAAATGTTCCAGAAGGCTTCAGGAGTTGCTTCAGATGTCTCAGAATGGCCTTAGGATCAATCAAGGTCGTCTCTTAAGATTTCAGAACTTGTTCTATATGGTCTTAGAAGGCCTGTTAACATGCTTCAGAAGGCTTCAGTGTTTGTTCCGCAAGTCCAAAAGACCTCAGAGGATGGTCCTTATGCCCTCTTTTTCACAAAGCTACAGCATTTGTTTCGACATGGCGTCGTCTTTCGTTCCTAAAAGCCTTTGGGTTTGTACCACATGGGCTCAGTTTTTGTTCCTTTTCCAGCAGGCTTCCTAACTTATCCCAGCAGGCTCCAAGACTTGCTCCAGAGAATCCGAGGACTTTTTTCGTACGATCACTGAATTTATCCCACATGACCTCTGGACTTGTCTCAACACTGGGTCCATAAAGATTGCTTCTCAAGGCTTAAATTATTGTACCAGAATCCTTGGGACCATGATCCACTAGGTTATTGTGTTTGATCCATAAGGTATCTAGACTTGTCTTGCATGGGTTCTAAATTTTTCTTTTAAGACCTTTTTACTTGTTCCAGAATGTTTCAGGATTTGCTCCAGAGGGTCTCAAAAGTTGTTTCTTATGCTTTCAGGGTCTTTTACATAATGCCGCTTGACTGGTTACCCATGGTCTTAAAATTTGTCTCATAAGCTGTTCAGAATTTGTTCCACATGGTCATAGGACTTGTTATCTTGCCACAGAAGGCTCCCGAACTGTTGTCTCAGAACTTGTTCTACATTTAAGATATCTAGACTTGTCTCGCATATACGCTGAATTCCTTACACAAGATCTTCAAACTTGTTGCACAAGGCTTCAGGATTTTTTTTCACAAGGTTATAGTACTTGCTTCGACATGGCGTCATCTTTCGCTCCTAAAGACCTCTGAACTCGTGCCACAAGGTCTCAGTTTTTGTTCCTTAAGGTCTCAGAACTTGCTCCTCATGGTCGGTGGACTTGATTAAAAGGCCCTCTTAACTTGATCCAGAAGGCTTCAGGACTTGTTTCTTAAGGTTACTTAAGGGTTCGGACCTATCTTAAAAAACCCCCTAATTTGTCCAAGGGGATCTCAAGAATGGGTCCATTAGTGTGCATGATTTGTTCCTCAAGGCTTTAATTCTTGTTGCAGAAACTAGAGTTCAAGTGAATTCTTTGCACTTCTTCGAAGCTGCCTGAAATCCTGTGAAGACCGCTGAGCCTTTACAAAGATAGCTGGACTCCTATTTGCTGCACTACTATAAAGTTTCCTGAACATCTACGCAATTCCCTGCACTTCCAAGAAGTTTTCTAAAGCTCAACGAAGGTTCCTGAAGTTCTATAAAGTTTCATAAAGTTCTAAAATGTTCCTTGAATGTTCTCTTAACTTCTACGAATGGCCCTTGACTTCCAAGACTTTATGAAAAGACAGTTCGTCGATCTCAGTTTTGATTTTTTTTTTCGAAGCACACCTGGCATTCTTGGTCACGAGTTCAATTCTCATCTCCGGGCAAGTTACGAATGACCTAAAATGTATTAAAGTGACTCTTGACTTGTTCCATGAACTATCCTGATTATTTCTTTGAGGTCACTGGACCCGCGCTTGTCCCACAGCACCTTTAGACACGTTTCAAAAGACCTCTGAAGCTGTTCTATGAAGTCTTTGAGGCATCAGGATTTGTGCTTCAAGACCTGTAGACTCATTCCAAGAAGCCTCTGATCTTGGCCCTCACCTCGTTTTGCCTAAATAGAGCTAATTTACAATGTCTTTCCACTGTGACTCAGGACCACAACTCAAGGTTCCGCTCAACTTAGCCCTAAATCCTTAAATTTCAAACTTACCACTTGTGGCTTGAACGGTGGCTCCAGTCCCCTTCTTTCCAGCTTCTGCCAGTCAATACTTTCAAAGAACGGATGATACTTGAGGTCGCTGTCTTCGTCCATCGTGTTGAAACAACCTAACCGTATCGTGGCGTCCTTCTCCAGGAGCTGCAAAAGTTTTAAAGACAACATTCGAAACTTCCATCAAACGAGCTAATGTCAAACTTCACTCACCGACTGCAGCAGTTTGAGTGCATCCTTCGACAGGAAGTGCGGAAACCATGGAATCTCGTTACAGATGGACCAGAATAGCTCATCCTCGTCACAACCACTGAAGGGTGACTGTCCGACGAGCATTTCATACACCAGCACACCGAATGACCACCAATCGACGGCTTGGTTGTATTTCTGACCCTGTTGATGGAAAAACAAATGAGTGAAATTGGCATTTGCCACGGCAGGATTGACTCACTTTAATGATTTCAGGCGCCATGTAATCCGGTGTGCCGCAGAAACTGTCCGCCAACCGGTCCAGGTAGATCTCCAGCTTGCACATGCCAAAGTCCGCTATCCGCACGTGACCGTCGTAGTCCAGAAGGACGTTGTCCAGCTTAAGATCACTGTCAAACGGAAATGAATCAAATTCAAGCATCAACAGGAAGGATACATCTGGCCGACCACCTTACCGATAAACAATACCCTTCCGATGTAGGAACTTGAGCCCGGAGACGATCTCGGCGGCGTAGAACCGTGCCCGCGCTTCCTGGAATCGTCCGCTCTGCTGTATGTGAAACATCAAATCACCCCCGTTCAGGTACTCCATGACGAAAAATAAATGGCTCTGCAAAGGAAGAAGGAAAGGGCATGGGGGTTAACCAACGTCCGATTATAGGGAAATATTGCGGATCTTAGAAAAAAATTCCGTCCGACTGCTACCGCGACTGTCAAAGTTCTACCGTCAGATTTATAATGAGCTGATTGCTGAAAAAACACATAGTGTGCATTGAGATTAGTGACGTTTAACGCACGCACACTAGCGGGTTCATCGCCGTGTAAAGTTGTTTATTATTTTCCTTCGACTAACCTAAAAATGTATGAGATTAGATCTTTCAAAATGAGTTTGACAACGACTTCTTCTTGGAATTGCTCCGTAAAACGGATATAAATCTCTGGAAGCACAACGGAATAGCAACTACGGGCGGTCAAACAAGATCAATCTTTAGAATGCTTAGAAGTTCCGATTTGCAGAACATTTTCTGAGCAGCTGATTCATCGTCTTTTAAATGATCTATCCTTATCGACGTGGTAAATTCGGTACCAACAAATCAGGTACACTCCCCTTTCAACTCCCGGTTCTAATATTATCGGAATCGCTTCGCATGCACATAACTCTGCCTACGTGGAGATCAAAGAGAGTCCCTAAATTTAGATCTTTGAAGCACCTCCCGATCCTCCCACTCCCCATCGCGTCGTCTGTGTATTGTACTCAACAGTGTATTACAGCGCGCGTGTGTTAAACCTACCTACTCAGAGTAGGAAGCAGTCATTCACACTCACTTTCTGTTTCGCAAACGCACATTCTCCGCTAACCATTCCTGGCAGCAGCGCAGCGGCGACGGCATCAGATTAGGGAATGTCGATCGCGGGGCCGCTACTACCAAAACAATCGAAATAGTTGCACCAGCTGATGGATTTGAGTGTATGAAGGCTCAAGAAGACCCGAGAACGCGATCGCTATTAGCGATCATATGATCGCTGCAGCAGGGGTGTTTTGGTTTTGGGGATCGCTGCAAATTCGAATGCAAATCCAAATAAAGAACCGCGATCGGGAGACGCGCCATCGATCATGTATCGATCGATCGTGTCTATCTTTAGACTGGCGACACATTTAGAAATGCCTACTTCGGGGCCCAGAGAAGGGAAGAATCGATCGTTCCCACTTTGCTTTCCCTAGTGACCGAATTCCGTCAATCAATCCGGGCATGGGAAAACTCGCAGCCGTGAATGAAATTTGTACGATTTCACAGCTGCTGCTGCTGCTGCAGGCTGTGGAGGAATCCAAATTTTGTTTTACAAACAAAATCCCAGTTTAATCTAGATGTTTGGCTTGGCCACGTTTAGAATCCGTAGTGATGCGTCTGATGGCCTTGTCCTCCGGGTATAAGTGCGTCGACGCGCCGTTCAGAACAACCATTTAGTAGCGCAGCGTAGTATAATAAACAAACAAGCTGTCATTCCACTGAGTTGATATATTCTTAGATAATCACAACAACCAGAACCGAATAGACGTGGTCGCTTGGTTGTCATTATGTTTGCCGGTGACCTTCACTGTTGGTCTGCCTAAACGTGCGGTCCTTCCTCTTTTCCTAACGATCGCGATCATAACTTTGACAGTAGTAAAAATTTCTCTCTCGAATTGGATCACACTTTTCGTTTAATGTGATGGGAGATTTGTCTAGCCGGTATGAAGATGTACATACACATATATCAACGGCAAGTCTTCGGAGAGGTAATGATCGCATTACATGGTTTTATGTCTTGTTCGTGTTCCGTGTTTGAAAGCAAATATTCTATCGTTTCGATCTTTAGGAGGAGTTAGGGGTTTCCGTGTGTTCATAAATTATCTCTATCTGAGAAAGATAGACGTCCTTCTTCGCGTTGGATTCTCTATTTAGTGTAACCGCGGAGAAAATAAATGTAAATCTGGTTGCACGGCCAACTAGCTTATTTTGTCTGCAAGGTCTGGCAACCCGCAATTTTGTGTTTACTTCGAGTGACTTTTAATTTGAGCGACTGTATCGGTATATTTAGTGATTATTTGAAAAATGCAATTCAAATGCACGCCTTCTGTAAAAATACATCGGATAAAACGTTACAAAATGTCAGTTTCTTCTGGTTTTCCAAAGACAGCGTCATCAGGGAAAAGTGGGTTCAATTATATCGGCTTCCTCCCGATCAAAGCGTTAGTAATCTGCCATATTGATAACTAAATTGTCGTTTAGATAAAATTTGAATTTATTATATTTCATCTACGTGGCATCGGACAGTTGAACACTTTTAGCAGTTCCTGGTGCAATTTCTGTTTTATAGTACGTTCAGACTACAGAGTTATAACATGTTACAGCGCTATCTTGATGGTGGTTTCTGTGTTGCAATTATTCGACAATTGTAGAGTTGAAGGGTTATTTCTTATTTATCACTAAATACCACGTAATTGCTATTTTATTTACCGAGAAGCGTTTATTCACGTCTATCGACCAATCTTTCCGTATCACCTCTCCCTCTCTCCCCCATCCCGTTCCCCTTCCTCTTCTCGAACTCGCCCGTATGTCCAGTGTTGATAAATCCATCATTTCGTCTTGTCTCTGCAGTGCACCCAAATCCTACAACCCCACCTTGAGTTTCCTACAACTAATAAGGAACGTAGTCTTTGAACTTTGATGGCTGCTGTCGTTCACGTTTGTGATGGACTGTCTCGTCTCGCAGTTGAACAGCATCGGAGTCACGTATTAATTCATCCTGGATAGTACGATCAGTATCCAAACTCGAAGTTGACTGTAGATCATCGCGTTCTGCTGGAACCTTCTTCAAATGTGTAACGTTGCGACGGAACTCTTTTCCGGACAACTTAGAACGGACGACAACATCAGACCCACTTTTCTTCATCACCACGAACTCCTCTGGAGAATAGTCCGCCTCCAGCTTATGATTCTTCTTCATTCGTTTCAAGAAAACATGATCACCTTCTCGAATGCCACTATATTCAGCCCGACGCTTTTTATCCGCATAACTCTTCCCCTTCTCTTTCTGAAGACCATCAAAATCTCGCACAACTTCATCGTCGACGTAAACAGGCACTTGAGGAAGTCTACTCTTAATTCGTCGCCCGAACATCAACTTTGACGGAGCTTCACCAGTTGTTGCGTGATTTGTTGCATGATATACAAGAAGGAATTCACGCAACTCTTTCCGCCAGTCCTTCCCAAGCTCTTGTGCGATTCGCAACCGCTTCAAAATAGAGCGATTCTGGCGCTCTACTTGGCCATTCATCTGCGGCCAGTAAGGAATCGTGCTTACTAGTTGTATTCCGTAATCACTGCAAACATTCCTGAACTCCTTGCTTGCAAATTGTGGGCCATTGTCCGCCTTAATGGTCGATGGAACTCCGTAGCGGCTTAATATCTCTCGCAAACGACCAACTGTTTCCATTGAATCGATACAATCCATCTCACAAACTTCCAGATATCTACTATAACAGTCTACAACAACTAACAAATGATGACCATCAGGTAGCGGACCAAGAAAATCGATTGCAATGTCTTCCCAAGGTCCGGATGGTAGCATTTTTTGAAGCATTGGCTCGGGAACATCTGGAGCAGCCACTAGAACACATCCACGGCAGTTTTTCATAAAATTCTCGACATCTATATCAAGTTTGGGCCACCAAACTACCGATCGGAGGAACGATTTCATCATTTGCATCCCGGGATGCCCTTCATGTGCTATGTTCAGAATCCGTTGACGTAATCCAGCTGGAATTACTATACGATCTCCCCGTATAAGGACGCCACAAACACTGCAGAGCTCTGAGGAAATAATACGGTAAGCAGTAGGTAACAGTTCAATAGTCTCATCCTCTAAGCATTTGAAGATGTTCATGGTTTCTGCATCGCGCCTCCTTTCACGGAGCAGCTCTTCCCAAGAAACTGAAACAGATTCTGCACTTACTGCTGCGATATGCCGAACAACAAGCTCTTCAGTCGAATCGAACGGCTCAAAAGCATTTTGATCACCTCTAATATGGATAACCGAGTAATTGAAGGATTGCAACCTTAGCACCCACCTCTCAATCCTAGAACAGGGGCGAGATCGGGGTGTAAATAGATATACGAGGGTTTTGCAGTCCGTAAGCAAATCAAATTTCCTTCCTAGAAGATAGAATTGAAATTTTTCAACGGCCCAAACCAGTCCCAATGCCTTTTTTTCTGTCTTTCAGTATCTTTTCTCGGTTTCCGTCAGTGATTTTGAGGCAAAACTAATAACTCTGTCGTGTCCTCCATTGTCTGTCTGCACTAGCATCGCCCCGAGTCCCGTTGGGCTTGCGTCAGCAATCACTGCTGTCCTATCCCTAGCATCGAAGAAACCGAGATTACGTACATCTGACATCGCCTGCTTCATTCTTTGGAAAGATTCTTCATGTCGTGATTCCCAGCAGAATTATACCCCTTTTCTAGTCAGCTCTCGAAGCGGTTCATCGAGAGTAGCCAGCTTGGGTATGTACTTGTTGAGATAATTAGCGAGGCCCAAGAAACTACGGACTTCACTTTCAGTAGACGGACGACGAAAGGCAAGGATCGCTGACACCTTTGTGTCGGAAGGTGCTATACCCGATTTAGTTATCTTATGACCAAGAAACTCTATTTCTTTAGCCCTGAAATAACATTTCTCCAAATTTAGCTGTACTCCTCGATCCGTTAGTTTGGTCATAACCTTCTCAAGCCTGATGTCATGCTCTTCCAGATTTTTACCTTCCACAAAAATATCATCGAGGTACCAATGAGTACCCTCGCATCCGCAGAGGATTTCATCAATTACTCTTTGAACAACTTCAGGTGCCATTATTAAGCCAAATGGCAGCCTCTTAAATCTAAATAACCCCTTTTCAGTTATGAACGTGAGAATATCTCGAGACTCAGCAGCAACCAGAACTTGAAGGAAAGAATCTTTGATATCCAACTTACTCCATACAGCACCATTTCCAATACGCGCCAGTATTTGTTCAATTACCGGCATTGGGTGATGTTCTCGTAGCACGGCTTGGTTTACTCTTCGTAGATCTAC